TGGGAAACCTTGCATTTTAAAGCTTTAACACAAATATGGCTTTCTAAAGTGAAAGGGCCAGCTTTACCCAAAGAAAGGTGGAGAAAGGGTTTTGCTTTTTTTTCACTCCAAAAAGTTGGTGCTCACAATAGAGTACCATCCAGACAATTATATTATTGAGTAACTGAGCCACTCATGAGTACCCCCTTGAAAAGTTGTCTGGATGCTGTTTTTTTAATAAGGGTTTAATAAGGCATCTAATTATTTGGGAAACCTTGCATTTTAAAGCTTTAACACAAATATAGCTTTCTAGAGTAAAAGGACCAGCTTTGCCCAAAGAAAGGTGGAGAAATGGTTTTGTTTTTTTTTTTCACTCCCAAAAGTTGGTGCTCACAAAAGAGTACCACCCAGACAATTATATTATTCAGTAACTGAGCCACTCATGAGGTACCCCCTTGAAAAATTGTCTGGATGCTGTTTTTTTAATAAGGGTTTAATAAGGCATCTAATTATTTGGGAAACCTTGCATTTTGAAGCTTTAACACAAATATAGCTTTCTAGAGTAAAAGGACCAGCTTTGCCCAAAGAAAGGTGGAGAAATGGTTTTGTTTTTTTTTTCACTCCCAAAAGTTGGTGCTCACAGTTGAGTACCATCCAGACAATTATATTATTCAGTCACTGAGCCACTCATGAGGTACCCCCTTGAAAAATTGTCTGGATGCTGTTTTTTTAATAAGGGTTTAATAAGGCATCTAATTATTTGGGAAACCTTGCATTTTAAAGCTTTAACGCAAATATAGCTTTCTAGAGTAAAAGGACCAGCTTTGCCCAAAGAAAGGTGGAGAAATGGTTTTGTTTTTTTTTCACTCCCCAAAAGTTGGTGCTCACAGTTGAGTACCATCCAGACAATTATATTATTCAGTAACTGAGCCACTCATGAGGTACCCCCTTGAAAAATTGTCTGGGTGCTGTTTTTTTAATAAGGGTTTAATAAGGCATCTAATTATTTGGGAAACCTTGCATTTTAAAGCTTTAACACAAATATAGTTTTCTAGAGTAAAAGGACCAGCTTTGCCCAAAGAAAGGTGGAGAAATGGTTTTGTTTTTTTTTTCACTCCCCAAAAGTTGGTGCTCACAGTTGAGTACCATCCAGACAATTATATTATTCAGTCACTGAGCCACTCATGAGGTACCCCCTTGAAAAATTGTCTGGATGCTGTTTTTTTAATAAGGGTTTAATAAGGCATCTAATTATTTGGAAAACCTTGCATTTTAAAGATTTAACACAAATATGGTTTTTCTTGAAAGTAAAGGGCCAGCTTGCCAAAGAAAGGTGGAGAAGGGGTTTGTTTTTTTTCACTCCAAAGTTTTGGTGGCCGTTCACAAATCCAGTACGCATCCGACAATTAATTATCTCAGTAACTGAGCCACTCATGAGGTAACCGTCTGAAGCACCCCACTTGAAAGTTGTCTGGATCATGTTTTTTTTTAATAAGGCTCTTAATAAGCATCTAATTATTTGGGAAACCTTGCATTTTTCGAGCTTTAAACACAAATATAGCTTTCTAGAGTAAAAGGCCAGCTTTGCCCAAAGACAAGGGTGGAGAATTGGTTTTGTTTTTTTTCACTCCCAAAAGTTGTGGCTCACAATAATAGTCAGCCACCATAACAATTATATTATTCAGTCACTGAGCCACTCATGAGGTACCCCCTTGAAAAATTGTCTGGATGCTGTTTTTTTAATAAGGGTTTAATAAGGCATCTAATTATTTGGGAAACCTTGCATTTTAAAGCTTTAACACAAATATAGCTTTCTAGAGTAAAAGGACCAGCTTTGCCCAAAGAAAGGTGGAGAAATGGTTTTGTTTTTTTTTCACTCCCCAAAAGTTGGTGCTCACAGTTGAGTACCATCCAGACAATTATATTATTCAGTAACTGAGCCACTCATGAGGTACCCCCTTGAAAAATTGTCTGGATGCTGTTTTTTTAATAAGGGTTTAATAAGGCATCTAATTATTTGGGAAACCTTGCATTTTGAAGCTTTAACACAAATATAGCTTTCTAGAGTAAAAGGACCAGCTTTGCCCAAAGAAAGGTGGAGAAATGGTTTTGTTTTTTTTTTCACTCCCAAAAGTTGGTGCTCACAGTTGAGTACCATCCAGACAATTATATTATTCAGTCACTGAGCCACTCATGAGGTACCCCCTTGAAAAATTGTCTGGATGCTGTTTTTTAATAAGGGTTTAATAAGGCATCTAATTATTTGGGAAACCTTGCATTTTAAAGCTTTAACGCAAATATAGCTTTCTAGAGTAAAAGGACCAGCTTTGCCCAAAGAAAGGTGGAGAAATGGTTTTGTTTTTTTTTCACTCCCAAAAGTTGGTGCTCACAGTTGAGTACCATCCAGACAATTATATTATTCAGTAACTGAGCCACTCATGAGGTACCCCCTTGAAAAATTGTCTGGGTGCTGTTTTTTTTTTAATAAGGGTTTAATAAGGCATCTAATTATTTGGGAAACCTTGCATTTTAAAGCTTTAACACAAATATAGCTTTCTAGAGTAAAAGGACCAGCTTTGCCCAAAGGTGGAGAAATGGTTTTGTTTTTTTTTTCACTCCCAAAAGTTGGTGCTCACAGTTGAGTACCATCTAGACAATTATATTATTCAGTCACTGAGCCACTCATGAGGTACCCCCTTGAAAAATTGTCTGGATGCTGTTTTTTTAATAAGGGTTTAATAAGGCATCTAATTATTTGGGAAACCTTGCATTTTAAAGCTTTAACACAAATATAGTTTTCTAGAGTAAAAGGACCAGCTTTGCCCAAAGAAAGGTGGAGAAATGGTTTTGTTTTTTTTTCCACTCCCAAAAGTTGGTGCTCACAGTTGAGTACCATCCAGACAATTATATTATTCAGTCACTGAGCCACTCATACTGTAACCAAGGAACTACTACGGCATCGTATCTCAACAAAGCCCTGATTTTTGATTTCTGGATATATACAATGAATAGATTCTATTCTAAACTATACTATATAAACTGCACTAAACTAAGGTTTCTTGGGGATGTTCATGAAACAGGAGGGAACCTATAAGGGAATGGATGGGAACGGTCCTAAAATTTGAAAATTAATGGCTCGGTGTATGTTTTTTTCATCCAAATACCCTCTGGTAATCCAATAAATATCTAACAATAGGTCTGAAAAATCAGCTTTCTATAGGCAAATCATCTATATATATATATATATAGGTGATTTTTAATACCTGCTGTTAGATATTTAATTTATTGGATATTTGATATAGGTAAATAGCTATATGAATGGGTTCTGTGGCCATGTTCAATAGCTATTTCAAACTACCAAATGATCCAGCATGGGTTTTAGATGTCTTTTGTGGCATGGGTGAACGCTCAGTAAGAATCTCTTTGAAGCAACGCTGGAAACAGGTTTGTGAATTTCTTGGAGTACTCGCTGACTAAGCCCGCATTTTCGAGCTACATCCCCATGGGGTTAACTCACTTTGATTATCCCAAATCATCTGCCATCAAGATGGATGTTCCAAGGACCCAAGGACACTAATTCCAGGCGCAAACCAATCAATCTTTGCATATTCTTCGAAAATACAGTGTTATATATATATTACTATATGTACGTATGTATGTCCATATGACAAACGGCTCACAATTGAATATCCCCAGCTGGGAGGTTCATAGATTACAGCCTTATTTTGCTAGTCTGGCTATACCCTTCAAACATTGGATCATCATTGCATATAGCGTGGTGCCCTTCCTTCACCTTTTGTTGGGCATGTCTTCGCCAGCTGTCAGCTGAGGGTGTCTCTAGATTTTGCGCCAGCTCCTCCTTCTGCTCTTCTCCTTTTCTCTGTATGTCATCTGAGATTTGCCAGATCACATGTCAAAATATACATCAGAACACATGTCAGATATGGTGATCAATATAAAGGTCCTTGTAAAGAGTTTTAATTGCGAAGACCGTTCATGTTATGTTGGGAACCTTCGCCAAAGTTTTTTCCGAGTTCGCGAAAGTAACATGCTTATTCGCGAAAGCTTCTCGGAAATTGGATATTATGAATCATAGATATTGTTTGCAGTGTTTGCATTGCATATGATTACAACTTGTAAAGGGCTACCACCGGGTCTCCAACAGGAGAAGGGTACCGGAGAAATTCGGTATGGTTCTGGTTCAGTTCACTGTGTGGTTCTGCACTCCGCACATTTACCTTTCCCTTCATGATTCATAGGTGGCTGCCGAGCTTCCAAAGGTGAGGCATTGCCACAGCCTGAAGCACACCATTGCTGGCACTGCCTAATATTGCTTTCTGAAGTCTACACAAAAACACTCCACATGCAGCAGCCGAGCTTCCAAAAGTGAGGCTTTGCCAGAGCCAAACACCAAAGCCCCTGGTGTTTGCTTTTCCTCTGATGTGCCCCTGCTGAAAGAATTTGCCAGAGCAAGCGTAAGAATAAGAATATGTGTCAGAATATGTTTGAAGATTTGCCAGAAGATATGTCAGCACCTTTGCCAGGACAAATGGCAATATACACGCAAGAGCATATGCCAGAGTTTTCACCAGATATCAGAATACATGATCAGAATGTTGCAAATGATATGTATATATATATACTAATAACTATGTATTGTGTATATAAACTATATAAATGTATAGTATTGTGTTAGTGTATAAGTAAGTATATATATATATATATTATATGTGTGTGTATATTTTATATAGATATATTAGATACATACATATTTAGATACAGACACACATATAGATACATATATATATATATAGATACATGTATATATAAAAATAATTATTTATATTGCATTTAAATGATATATTAGATTATATGTCATACCCTAACTGGTTTATTGGGATTTGTTGGGCATTCGCCTCCCAGTTGCCCATAACGTCGCCCTCCAATCCCTCAGGTGGGCTACTACACCCAGGTGCTGGGCCTCGGCACTTGGCCCAGCGACGTGCGCTTCACGGGGCACCATGGCATCTTCGGGCCCAGCGAGGAGGACAACAACAACTTCAACACCTTTTGGAAGGCGGGGAATTGGTGTGGGAAATTGATGGAAAATGGTGGGAAATTGATGGAACATTGTTGGAAATTGGTGGAACAAACCAACACTTCCATTCAAAAAAAACTATCAACAACCATCAACAACTCAGGAAGTGAATGAAACTGAGCTGAATTTTGCAGAGAATTAATGAGCATGAGTGTAGAAAATCCAACAAGTAAACCTATCATTTGAGGACGGTTTATACCAACCATTTATGGTGATGACTTCCATGGAACATGTCATTTTTTCATGCTGAATTTCTCATGGGTATTCCCATGGTTTTCGGACAAGCATCCGAGGCGGCTGAGAACTTGGCGAACCAGCCCACTTCAGGACGCAGCATTTGGTCGGTGTCACAGGCAGCGCCCCTTCGACGTGTCCAGGTCAGTGGCCATTCGGCAGCCATAGACCAACAGTGGGCGTTTTAAAGGGGCTATAACATGTTCAAAAGCCACCAGGTTATGAAATGATATGATTTTCAGATATGACAATAATACCAGGGATTAGTGTTTGAATGTCTGTTTTTGGAGTCTCTATGTTTCTTTAAGTGCTTCGATGAATTTCATTGTTTTTTTTTTTTGGTGTTTTTTGATCATGAATTGCCAAGGGGTGTGGGGGTCATAGACGACCCTTTCAGGATGGGGGTGGCAGAACATGTCATGCTGGGCTCTGGGAAACATGAGCATCAACATGCAGTGACCGACATACAGTCCATCAGCCAGCCCAACATATTTTTCTGGATGGGTTTCATTGATTTTAAAATGAGATGAGCGATTAGGGATCTTCGGAATGTGTCATAATTGTTTATCAAAGTTTATAAATAAATAAATAAATAAATATATATATATATATATTTATAGGTATAATGTTTTATCATAGTCGACTTACATATGTTATATATATATATTATGTAACTTATATCAAAGTCACTTCTATAATGCTATATTTGATCAAAAAAGGGACCGGGGGGAACATCCCAAAAAGCTCACCTGATAACAACTGAGGTGACCTTCTGTTAGGCTCATACGACGGCCGCTGATCTGCAGCTACAGGTAGGCCAGTGCTATCTCTAATATACATATGTATATATATATATTTATATGCTCGTGTAATACGTAGATGTTATAGAATATGATTGAAATATAATATATAATTAATGAATTTGATAAGGTACATGTATTATCATCATGTTCAACAAATAATGTTCGAAAACTATGTTTTGGGGCAGAAACGGGTGATTTTAGCGCATTTGGTTGTCGTAATTGTCTGTATGTGTTTATTGATGATTCTTTTAGTACATACCAACATGAAATCCCCACATATTAGAATGATCCACCATTTTCGTTGGTCAATTTATGAGTTTGTTCTGGTTATTCCTGCAACTATGCTACTACCTCCTTGGGAGATGCTGCGTTGCCTCCTTGCTTCACATGTTCGCCCAAGTTCCAGCGATTGTCCTACCTGAGGTCATGCACGCAAAAGTATGTATACATATATACTGTATGCGTTATTTGTAGTACACACGCATATAATATACATGTATATATATATATACATATGTATTATATATATATGTATTTATATATATATTGATATAATATCTGCATATATATATATAAATATATATATATATATATATTGATCTATACGCACAAATGTACATTGTGTGTATATCTACATGTATATATATACACATGCAAGTATATTCTCATAGCCCTAGCTGAACGTATACTGTTGGTATATTGATTGCAGCATCCTGCGTTTTGGATGGGGTAAATACCATGGTGTACCTCTCCCAGAGTATTGTAGAGGTGGGTGTTCTCTGTGGAGAGAGTCCGGACAATCTTACAAGGGTCAAACCTATCTTATGTCCTGGCGCTCGCGTAGTGTTTGTCAGTACAGCATTAGCATCTAACATGTGTCACAGATTCAACACACTATCACACTTGATATTCTAGTCAATGAACACCACCAAAACCTCTTACATCAGCCTTCCTCTGAGAAACACACTAACCCAGAAAATCTAAATCAATATATATATAATGTTATCTATTATTTATCCATCTACCTATAAAACATTTCTTGCTGTTTTTGTGCAACAGATTTGTGTAAAGTTATAAGGTCACACCCATCCATTCCTTCCTCCTGCGAGGCGCTGTCCCTTCCAAAGGCAGTGGCGGATTTATCGCCGACGTCCAGGTCGATGGGACTTTGGCGCCTTGGATGCTGACACGCGGCCGGTGAAACGTTCTGATTCTTATGCTTAATTTATGTTGAATTTATGGGGTTGTAAGTTATAAGTTACCAAAAAAAAGTTATAAGTGACGATAAATTGTATTAACCAAAAAACTACAACCCTTGGTGCATTCCATAATTTGGATTATAATAAGTGACTTATAACTTGTAACTTATAACTAACGCTAAAGGGACATAAGTGTAGTAATACTTTTGCCCAAAAAAACTGGCGATTTTGGATGGAGAGTTTGGAGGATTCCATCCAATTGACCTAGCTGTACTGATGACCTAAGCAGCTTTAAACAACGAAACAGGGTATCCCCAGGATCGAAGTTGGGGATTCCCCAGTGGGGATGCTTCAGATGATTCGTTGGGGATATCTATTACCGCCATTTTTTCAGTTTTGAGCATTTTCGAGCTGGTCATTGGGGTGAATTAGATTGATGGGACGGGATGGGACGGGATGGGACAGGATGGGACAGGATGGGACAGGATGAGAATAGAGCTCTTGAAACCGCAGCAAAAGGATATTCCCGGGCTGTCAGACTCATGATTACTTGATCCATTGTTTTTTTTGGCAATTGTTTTTTTTTTGGTTGGTGTGTGTCATGGCAAAACGTTCATTTGCCATCAATTTCAGCATGGTCATATGGTCATATTTCTTCAATTGACTGGATCACCCGAGCGCCCAATCAATTGAAGCCTTACCCGATCGCAGCGATGTTGACATGGGCCTGGTATGTGCCTGGAAAGCATGGCTTGAACCACATACATATAGGACCCCTTTGATGTATTGACCACCTACCAAGCGGGCTGCACATCCATGAGAGGGTCAACCCATGGTCACCCCATCATTTGCTTTGTGGCATTGAGGATTTAGTGCGGCAGCAGCAGTGGCTGATCCGAAACTGCAAGGTGCGGATGTGGCTGGGGGCCCCTGATGGAAACAATGCCAAAGAGATGATGTTCCTCCCGGGAAGGAGGCCTTCTCTCAGGTGAACAAATATCTAAAGATCCTGGACTTTTCATGGATTTTCCCCTGCCAATGGCCAACTATTGTGATTTCTGCCTGGGTGCTTTCATGTATTTTCATGTTGACAAACAGCATTGATTTTGACTCCGCAGGTGAATGGCACGCGCTACTTCCAGTCAACACCTCGTGCCGTGAACTTTGTCTACCTGGGCACCACCGGATCTCCAAAATCATCTGGAAACTGCACAGATTCTGGCAGGAATCCAGTCTCACCCGAGCCTCAGGTGATACAAGAACCCACCACCCCCGTCCCATGGCATGCAAGGGCTGTGGCTGAAGGGAAAAACTCAATCATCCCAGTTGGTGAGTGATAGGTTTGGTTGCTCATTGAGATGCTAGGGCTGGTGGGTATGACTTCAAGCCCTTACACATAAATCTGCGAGATCAAAGAGTTGGTGAAAATTTCGCCTCCTAAATTGAACATCAAGCGGAACATCATCTTCAGACCCGATTTATTTTTGTTGGGGGTGCATGTTGAATTTAGGACGTGCTAGCCATGATTCTGCACCGCACACTGACTGGGATGGTTACCCAACGGCAACAATGCCATGGCCACTTGGGCCGATGGTTTTCAGCCTCGGTTCTTGAGCGAAATCATCCAACAAAGCAGCTCAGCATGTCATGGCTGTCAAGACAGTTGTATTGCACATGAGCCTCCAGTATAATTATTCACAAAGTTACAAAGTTAAACATTTACACTATACAGATACATATAGCATCATGTAGCTATATATAGCTAGACATAGTTATACATAGTTCATTTTCCACAGGATATCCTGCTGTCTTGAACCTTTGGGATAACTACCGAGACCAACCATCAGTTTCTATTGAACTTTGGAACGGGCTACATCTGTGAAGTTTCAAGCTGATCTCCCGGTTACAGCTGTGACGCGGAATCCAACCCGGAAATTGTGTTTGGGGATTATTTTGGCTTTAGAAGTGCTGTAGTTTGCCCAGATCCCAGTGAACAGTTGAAGAATTGGTTGTAGATAGCCATCAACACGAAGTGCCATGAGCTATGATTGGCTATGATGACCCTCGAGGTTCAAGTGGAGAAACCCTACATGAGCATCAACGCTGATGGCAAGTGCTCTGCTGACATCGCAGACAGGGGGGATTCACTGACTTACACTGTGTGTGATACCCCAAATGCAAAAGGAAACTCCAGCAAAAAGCTTTCGAGGCTCTTCTCAACTGGGAATATTGGTGTTTTTTTCAGTTTCTAGAAGTGATAAGTGGTTGTTAAGCCTAATAAGCATTGATAAGCATTGCTTTTTCCACCCCTTGTTCAGTTTTGGGGTCGATGTCCCTCAGCAATCCCACTGTTTCAGCCCATGGTCTCAGCCATCATCGCTGAATCCAGCTTCGCCACTGTTTGAAAAAATTGGGGGACCATAATATGGTGGGTACTTCGTATTGAAAGGATGGGATTACATTGGCATCTTTGTTCCTTTTTTGGCGATTCTCAGTGCTAGCCAGTCACTTCAGAGAAACCTAGGGGTGAAACTGGTCGCATCAGCCTCTTGGTAAACACCAGCATGTGATCATATGTTACTCTAACATTAACATGCATGAACTGAACTGATTCCCCAGTTCATCAGAACCGCCCTGTTTGATAGATACATCATGATCTCATATTTTGTCTCATGGTTAACGCTCATGTTTTTTCGAGCTGTGCCATCCACATCATCCACCACATATGGGGTTGTCCAAAGTGAATTTCGCGGGTGATACGCCATCGTCAGACATACCCACAACCGGGTGTTTGATATAGATGATAGAACCATGTTGAGTTGAATCCCTGTTTTTTTTTTGCATCGCTAAAATACCATATTTTTTGGATGGACAGTTCATGGCAAATCCCACCAGGAGCAGACGGATCTTTTACCGTCCCACAAAAGTGGGGTTCAGGGGGGTTGGTGGGGTGGGGTGGGGCATTGACATTTATGTACAAGTAATGTTCATGTACTCGTGCATGTTCATACATGACACATCCGGTATGTCACCAGGTACGGGGTGGGCGGGTGAGGTGAAAGCTGGGTTCCATCGAATATTGCGTCTAAACGCAAAGGCAAGGACATGTGCCTCCTTGGAAATACATCCAGTGGAGGTGGGAGAATGGCCAAGAAAACCTCTTGAAGAAGACATGCATGGCCTTGAGACAGATGATGGCATGACACGATGCGAAGCAAAACAGTCTTAGCCAGCGCACGGCGTGGAATGGGATCATAAATGGATTTGGCGTGTGGCGTGTGTGTCAAATGAAAAAACCTGTGTGAGATATACAATATATAAAATCGGATTTGTGTGAAATAAATACATAAATATCTCGCCGGATCTTTCACCCTCCCACAGTTGTATAACATCTGTGTCTTGTCGGAGCGCAATGTTGCTTTTGGTTGTAGAAAATGCATCATATGCTTTTGTTGTTTTCCTTGGGGTCGTGAACCTTTCCAGCATTTTGGCTCCCAAAACAAGTGCCAGTGCCAGATCCACCGCCACAAAGGTACTATCTCCACATTCCGCAGCCCATCTTTTCGGGCCACGGCGTCAGCTGGGAAGCTCGAGACGACCACAACGACCACACGCAGCGTGTGAGTTTTGAGAAGGTCTTCGTGGCCAGCAATGAGACGAAGCTGGCGGTGATCAACGTGACCTGGCGAGGGAACGTTGTTTTTCCTTTTTTAATCATGGTAGACCATGATGACTCGTTATAAATAACTAAATAGTTATTACCAGTAGTACCGCACAAGGCGGTGGCGGAAGTTTCAAAAATAGGAAACCTATAGGAAAGGTTGGTTGTTGTGAATCAGGGATGGCAGAGCGAAGCCACTGATGGATCGAAAGGTGATTGAGGTCTCCTCTCTTTCTCTCGCTTTCTCTGACTATCTACCTACCTACCTATCTATCTATCTATCCATCTATCTATCTATCTATGTATGTATTTATCTATCGATCTATATCTCTCTCTCTCTCTTCCATCTAATTACCGGTCTATCTATCTATCTATCTACCTACCTATCTATCTGTCTGTCTGTCTATCTATCTCTCTCTCTCTCTCTCTTTCATCTGTCTATCTGTCTAGCTGTCTACCTGTCTATCTGTGG